CTTAGAGGACCACCACCAGGGTCTAGGCCACAGAGGACCACCACCAGGGTCTAGGCCTCAGAGGACTACCACCAGGGTCTAGGCCTTAGAGGACCACCACCAGGGTCTAGGCTGAAGAGGACCACCACCAGGATCTAGGCCTCAGAGGACCTTCCATCAGGATCTAGGCCTCAGAGGACCACCACCAGGGTCTAGGCCTCAGAGGACCACCACCAGGATCTAGGCCTCAGAGGACCACCACCAGGGTCTAGGCCTCAGAGGACCACCACCAGGGTCTAGTGGTCTAACTCCACTCTTCTGAGTGGAGTTTGCATGTTCTCCCCGTGTCTGCGTAGGTTTCCTCCGGGTACTCCGGTTTCCCCTACCACTAAAAATATGTCCAATAGTTCTGGCAGGCGCCTCCTGTACTTGCGACCCCGCTCCCATCTCTGTGTGGAGTGAGAGACAAATGCCCATAATTAACAATTGTAAACCGCTTTGAGACTCAGATCTGCAGTGAAAAGGCGGTATATAAATAAAAACTTACTTACTACTTACTTCTAGGCCTTAGAGGACCACCACCAGGGTCTAGGCCTCAGAGGACCACCACCAGGGTCTAGGCCTCAGAGGACCACCACCAGGGTCTCTTTCACCTTCTGCGATTGTGCCGAGCTCCGCCGGGGTCTAAGCACCAAATCTCTACATCTTGTTCAGCACAATAAATGTAATCTTGATAATATTGCCTTACCAACCAACATACGGCTCTAACACCATGTTTTGTCAGTTCCAGTCTCGTCAGATTGAAAGAAAGAAATGACAAACGGTTGCCATAACAGCACCACACAAACACAACAATCTTTAGAAAGTACAAATCCTGAACAATCCTGTGCTTTGTCAGACTGGGCCGTGATTTCATTTAGACTCATAATAAACCGACTTTGTATAAAGGTTGTTTCTCTGTTAGAACACAATGCTAGCGCCCACGCAGCTGCCACCGGCTCTGGGCTTATTATAGACGAGAGGAAGTAAGGTCCGCCTGGAGGGAGCCAAACAAACACACTAACACACTAAACTATTATACTAAAGCCTTTGTCAAGTATTATTATTCAGTATTATTGGTGGTCATGATGTCACATGTTGTCACTACTCACTTTAGTAGACCGTTAGTTTATGGAAAATACCCAAAAAATATGCAAACATTTGTACAGTGGACAGTTGGGCAGTTAGTGTCCAACTAGAAGGACTGTGGTGATCCAGGACACTTTAACATTCTACAACATGTATGACATTTAACTGTTGATTCTCTGATCTGTGTTGGTGATTTCAATGGTTTTGTTAAGTCTCTGAGATGATACTGTTGTGATTTAGGGCGATACAAGAATAAATTGTACTGTATTGTATTGAAATTGTTTTGTATTGTGTATTGTGTATCTTTGCCAACCAAAAATGTCCTATTTTGGCAAAAGCTAGGCTAAATGCTAAAGCTAGACGAAATGCTAAATGCCTCACTCACTCGCTTACATATGTCACGGTAAACTCAGATCCAAAATGGACCTTTAATGACAACTTCCCTATCACCACTTAAAGGCATTCAAATCAGTTAGATATATTTTTACAGAATTGTGGATTCGCCAACACAGATCAAAGAATCAAACAGTCCGGGAAACTCCAACTTTTGTAATGACATAACATTGTAAAGCACTTTGGGTGACCTTGGTCTGTAAAATGTGTTATATAAATAAATATTAAAAGTAAATAAACACTCACTCACCCAGCCACCCACCCACTCCCTCACCCACTCACCCACCCACTCCCTCACTCATTCACTTACACACTTACTCCCTCACTCACCCACCCTCACTCCCTCACTCACTCACTCACTCCCTCACTCACTCACTCACTCCCTCACTCACTCACCTACCCACTCATTCACTCACACACTTACTCCCTCACTCACCCACTCACTCACTGACTCACTCAGTGAGTCAGTGAGTGAGTCAGTCACCCACTCACTCACTCACTCACTCACTCACCCACCCACCCACCCACTCACTCACCCAACCACCCACTCACTCACTCACTCACCCACCCACCCACTCACTCACCCAACCACCCACCCTCCCTCACTCACTCACTCACTCACTCACCCACTCCCTCACTCACTCACTCAAACACAGTGAGGATAGTCCACAGCACACTCTGGATTCCCCTTCCTTTGGTGTGGGTTTGCTTTGACACGACGTTAGCAGTAAAACGTATCGTGCACAAAATGAGCCAAGTGTGAGTGATTTTTGTGAATAAGTGAAAGAAGAAACTGGACGATACTGAAGCTTTGATCACAGACGAGATGATTCAAAGCGACGTCAGAGCTTCAGGGCTCGTCTGCCTCGATCCTGAGTCATCTGTTTGTCTTGGCATTTCTCATCAGCCTTTTCCAAACTACACTTTTGTACATTTGAGCTAAAAACAACGTCTTCTGAGTCTTTGCCACAAACTCAAACCCACACAATCATATATATATATTTTTACACTTGTTTGCACTTTTGTTTTTAACTTTCTGTAGCAGCTTGAGATGTGTTTGCATATGTACAGTGTGCTATAAATACAATTATTATTAACTGAAGGATTACTCTTTTTATGCATTGTGGCTATTTATTATTTTAATCCTGTGTGTTTTAATGTTTTAAGGTTTTTAATTACTTGTGATTTTATTCTGTTTTTTATTTTTTGTTGTTTGTATATATATATTTTTTTATTATTTTTAATTATTATTATTATTATTATTATTATTACTGTTATTTTAATGTATATGTAGATTTTAATATTTATGATTTTCTTCATATGATATGGGTTGTAAGGCGCTTTGTGTTGCCTTGTGTAGGAAAGGCGCTCTACAAATAAAAGTTAATTGATTGATTGATTATTATTATTATTAATATTATTATTATTATTATTATCATTACTACAGCCTGCCTTTGTGTCTTGCCTCTCGCTGTAGTCACATAATTAGCAGTGACTTTTATCAACAAGTTTTATTCCGTAAATTGACAAAGGAGGAATCACACTCAAATGGAAAGTATGAATGAATAATAATAAACTGTTAAGATACAAACAGAATTCAACAAAACTTCTCTGTGGAGTAACGTCGGGTGCAGCCGGAGACGAATCCCTGATCTCTGGGTTTATTCAGAACAATGAACTAATCCGTTAATGACAGAACTTCTGGGTGTGTTCTCAATGGTTTGTTTTTGTCACTTTTCTTTTGTTTACAATTACTTTTCTTTTCTAATCCAGACTCTAAGGAAGGGCTGGGTCACCATTTGAAGGTGCCAGTATGGACTGTTCCCAACTGGAATAACGCAGCATTTAAAAGAGAATAGACTTCGTACATATGATAAGGCAGTGGAAAGGAAGCCCCAGGTTCTCATGACGAAGGGTACAAGTAACTCAGGGGTGTCCAAACTATTTAGCAAGAGGGCCACTTTAGTTCATCAGACATGACCTGGGCCAGACAACCTGGATTTGAGCTGGATGGACCGGATTCTGGAATTTAAAATGGGTTAAAATACGTCCTTAACGCATTGACTGCCACGGACGTATTTGTCTGAGACTGGTGATTTCTGTCAAACTTCTCTCTATTCGACTGAAGATTACAGCAGAACAAAACTAGCAAGATGCCAACGTATTTTTGCAGATTAAAGTAGACGGTCCAATCTTTCAGAATCTGGTTTCATATTTTTCATAGTCACAGCGCACAATAATCTGTGGGTCTTGAAAGTCAGTGAAATCATCAAAAACGGCTGGCAGTCAATTAGTTAATGATTCACAGCTGCATTGTATGTGGAATGTTGTGACACAAATATAAAAGAAATATCCGTAAATAACAATAGAGTCAATGCCTGGATTCTAGAGGGTCTGAGATTTAAAACATTAGCATGACTGTATTAGTGGAGCTGAAGTTGGTTGGATGACGCTGTCAAAGTGGCTCAATGGCGATAATGGTTTTCGTAGCCGAGGGTCACATAAAATGTCACAGAGGGCCGCGATTGCACATATTTGATATGAGTGTTTAGTATTTCGATAACAATATTATTGCGATATTTTTTTCTTTCAGCTAAAATTGCATCTGCTTTGAAACGCAAGAAAAATAACAAAAACATGAATGACTTTCAAATGCATATATTTATATACTTTTTTGTTTGTTTGTTGAATGTTGATGAGTCTGTCTGTTTTGTTGTCTTTAATGAAGGGAAAAAAATTAAATATTGCAAATATTTTTGATATGGAAATCGCACGCACCGATATACATATCATGCAGCCCTAGTTCACAAATAGCAACCAAAGTATATATTTCCTTCTGCCGGAGACAAAATATCCAGTTTCTAGTAACACCCAAAGCACGTTTACCAAAGCTGTTCCATGTCGGCAAACACTGTACATTTGACCTGTATCTGTTTTGACACTAAACAGTCAATGCTCCTTCTAAAAGATGGAGTCAAAATGAGTTTATAGATACAGTACTGTAAGAATCTTCTCGTAAAGGTTGAAATCTATGACTATATTATTTCTTCAAAGACACAGAATTATGTCTCGAGAAAAGACATTCTACAAGGTTTGAAATTCCTAATGGAGAAACAACTTTGATAAAACACATTCACACCTCTATTCCAATGGGGTTTTACTGCAAATTACTGCAAAATCATCCAAACGAGACAGTCGCAGCTGAATTTGTGCCAATTTTTCATTTCTTAAGCCACTGCAAAAATTTGACGCACCCAGATTTACAACCGTTATACACATTTAGATATTATGTTTAACTTATATACTGCTGCTCTATTAAAGCGGGCGGTAAAAGTGGTAGGTCCTGAACTATGTGACCACTGTTCTGGCGATCGGCGGTGCCAAAATAAGTGTTGACAAACTGTATTTAGCCCGAGTAACATGAGCATAAAAGTGAATACTGTAGTACATTCCTGGTTTGAAATGTATCCACGAGCGCTTTGGGGCCATGTCTCCGGGCTATGCTAGGTGTCATGCTAGGTGTCAATGGGGCAAGAGGGACAGGACCCGACCCGACGGAGAAGGACCACCACTGAATACCCCACAATCTGTTCAAAAACCATCATAAACTTTTAACTGTGTGTATAGTAAATGTACACTGTTATTTTATTATTGATATTTTGTGTATAAGTGTTTGTTTGTGGATGAAACGGATGAAAAACAGCTATATTTTCATTTATATTCACTGTCCCTGTCAAATATATAAATAAATAAATCACCCACCAGCCTCATATGTCTGGGTGAAAAGGTATGAAGGTTATTTTGTGTTTTTATTATCAACACTTTATTATCAACACTTTTCAGTGTAAATAAATTCAATGTTTTAAAAATCAGTGTCCAAAAATTCAATGTTGACAAAAATTCAGTGAAAAAAAAAAATGAAATGAATACAAAAGTAATAATTTAAAAAATCAGTGAAATATAAAAAAAATTAAATCAATACAAAAGTAATAATTTAAAATATAAATGAAGTATTTGGAAAACTTTTTTGTTACAAACACAAAATAACCTTCATAAAAAGGCCCCATGAATAAGATCCTTTACAATGTGACAGAATATGAGACTGAGAATGTGCGTTGGGTTAATGTATTAAAGCTGGGTGTATATTAAACAACAAAAAGCAAACAAATACATGCATTATTATCAAAAACAGTTTGGATCCGTACAAATTGTCTTAGACCCATAGACATGTTAGGGTTTTTTTTTTTTTACAATACTCTGTTGGGACCACATCCTTAAATCCAGATGGGATTACCAATTTATTTCCTAGTTAGCTAAACCCATTATTACCATTAAACTGTGATATTATGAATGCACACAACTCTCTGACTTCCATAATCATTGAAAAAAGTTGCGTTATTGAAAACAAAGCTAAACGATGGCACTAAAAAGCTTATTTCTGGCCATACCTGCATCTGAAAGCCAGATCCTGTCAGACCACTGAAGCTAAGCAGGGCAGGGCCTGGTTAGTGATGTGATGGGAGACCTCTGGGAACACCAGGTGCCGCAGTGGGGCAGCTGTAAAGTGTTGTAGTGTCCTTAGGCAAGACACTTCCCCCACATTAGAATGAATCTGGTGTGTGTGTGAATGGTTGGTGGTGGTGGGAGGGGCTGATGGCACAGACTGGTTGCCTCTTTTCTGGCAGTGTGCCCCAGGGCAGCTGTGTCTACAATAGTAGTTTATCACCACCGTGTTTGGAGTGAAAGAATAATGAAAAAATAAGATTAATGTGACGTGTTTTCGAGTGTCCTCAAAAGCGCTGTATAAAACCAATGCATTATTTATTATTATTATTCTCTTTCCAAGTGATGAAAAACTTAAAACCTTTGAAAACGTGTGTTAAAGTTGCCATTCATAAAAACAGCTGAAGACCTACGCCTACACTCACACATCCATCAGACTTTTCACGACTCCTGTCCGACATTCACACTCACTCACTCACTCTTCCACGGGACCGAGTTCAAACAGGACTGAGCGCAGAGAGCCTGGTGCCACCTCTGAATCACACATTTCTCACATTTTTGCTGCTTTACAAAGACCACAGCTGCAGACAGAGCTACACAAACTACACACAAACCGCAACAACTCCCATAAACTTCAATAAAACACGCAATTCTTGGGTTTCATTAAACTGGCCAGTAGGGGGCGCATGAGCAGAGGTAGGACAGTTTTGCTCCCATTGAAAACCATGTAAAGTCTGTTTTGGAGTCAAAGGCTCTGCTCCTGTGCGGTGTACGGTTGTTGGAACAGTCTTAATCGGGGACACTCAATTCTAAGGAAGAACTAACAAATATTTCTCAAAAGAGTCTTGATTTTGGGCATTTTTGGAAAGAAAAACAGAAGGAATTGCTGCGTTTCATTGGGGTGGCCTGCAGGGGGCGCTTATCTGGGAAAGCCTTGATCCACCTCGCCCGCCTCATTCCAGTGATTTTTTCAAAGTGTGCTCCTTTATATGAGACCACAGTTGGAACATGAACAAACTCTGGTCTTTCTCTCTATTTGTGCGTTGGCTACAAGCGTACCCCGCACAAAAAGATGGCATTTTGACAGCGCTTCTTCTTCTACTATATCTCCGTGTATAAACCTCTTCTTCTTCTACTATATCTCCGTGTATAAACCACTTCTTCTTCTACTATATCTCCGTGTATAAACCCGGCAGACTGCACCGCCAGGATACGTCACGTCATGTCCTACGTTTGTTATTCACCACTGCCCTGACGTCAAATGAAACCCAAGAATAAAACAAAATTCTGCATTTCTGACGTCTGCTTTGTTGCCCCACAGAGAGACGATCAGATATGACGACCTTGGCTCTGGTTCTGTGACAGCCTGGGTCCATCCGTGGGGCCTCGACTTGTGCTTTTTCAACCGACATCTGCTCCGTTCTCTTTGATCTCTCCTTTATGGCACGTGCTACATTTTTGCCCTATTATGTTTCCATTCTGAGGGACAGCCACACCACAGCGTGGGCACTCGGCGTTCATGGTTTCAACTTCTCAAAAGCAAATGTGCAAAGTCAGGCGGATAGATTGCAGTCAGAAAAACAGATTGCGCAGGGAGAGATGGATGTAAAGGCAGACAGGAGGCGAGGAGAGGGCTTTGAAGTCGTTTCCAGATAGGTTTGTTGTGTGCCAGTTTGGGCTGCTGCGGCGGTTGTGTAATCGGAAGAAAGTGAAGGAAGGAAAACAAGAATCTAAACGTGTAAGCAACTAAACCATGAATCAAAAATACGCATAAAAAAGGCTGAAGAGATTGCATGGAATTCTGAGCATGGACGTCGGAACTATTTTCTGAGAGGGGGGGCGGGTTTTTGTTGGGAGAGTCGAGGGAGAGACTCATACTTGGATTACACTGGATAATAACATACCATCTTAATTGTTAAGAAAAACAAAATAAACAATATATATCAAGCAAGTCACTTATCAAACTGAACTTTTTTTTTTTCAATACGCATTCATGCGTCAGTCTCTCCGGTGGCTTCATTGTGTTGTGTAGCCCAGTGACGTGCGGTCAGATGAGGCAGGCAAGGCCCTCACCTAAGATCATAGAAAGAAAAGTAATAAAATGGATACAATAATGTTTGGTCACTTTATCAAGTGATTTGTGCTGTGCCTTATTTCATTTATTTATACCTTGAAATCGCAGATTTGACAGAGCGGTGCTGTGAGGCGAGCCTCTCTTGGGAGACGTAAAAAGCAACAGTTCACAGGGAGAGTCCTGTGAGGTGCTATCAAACTGTTTTCCCTGTTTATCACAGTTTAAAAAGTTCAAAAATATTTAATTTACAATCAACATGTTTACATTTAAGAGGGTGGCTCATAAATTGTGTTTTTGAAGCAAATATGGGTCTTAATCGCGCTCAACCACAGCTTGTAAGTGAGGAAAGCCTCAAGGGGGCGCTTGTGAGCCCAAACTTTGGCTGCATCCAATTCCATCAGAAAGCTCCTTTCTTGTTCTTTTCTGCTAAGGGCAGCTACAGGTTTGGCTAACATACCTATAATACATTTTAAGATAATTTAAAATGCACTTAGAGTAATGTTTTGCTTCCAATGATGATATGAATCATAAGAAAAGGAGGTGAAGGGTAAGGTTGAATTTAGAAATTGGATTTACCCGGGAGTCGGCTGCAGCAAAACTCGGAGTTTACGGAGGAGACACCCGTTTTTTTTACTTTTTAAAACTCATTGAACTTATTTCCAAATGGAGGATTTTACATGTCTGTGCCCAAACTATTATCTGGACTTAAACATGAAACTGGTCCTAACTGAAGTGGTCTGTGCTGTTCATTAATACCTAAGGTATAGGCCCATAACACACTTTTTACTTTTTACAAACGTTTGCGTTTTGTATGAGAAAACAATGCAGACATTAAATCATATTCTGCTGTAGCCAAACAAATTGTGTATAAGCCGCTCCTGTTCCTGTAGGTCCTGTTGGTTTATATGATGTATAATATGAACACATGATTGATCCCCCACCGCACGTCACTGGTGTAGCCAGGTCTCTAATCTGAGGCTGAGAAAGAGCGCTCAGAGGCTGCGACAGATATTAGCCAGACAGAGCTTCATAAGCTTCTCCGACAGCATGGAGCGGGTTTTGGGCTGCAAGGAACGCAGGATAGTGATAACTTCTCGCTCCCGGCACACGCGGAGGGGGTGCGGCCGCACCCCCCGCACCCCTAGTTCCGACGTCTATGATTCTGAGCTGCCATTAATCAATATTACTTCAAGAACGTTGCTTTGCTTTGGTCTGTGAATAAACATTACTGACTTACACAAAAAGGAGAGATTAAAAAAGAAAACATGTCTCAGTCCTGGGAGAATACTTGAAAAAACCCCAAGAAATTATAAATATATTGAGGATACAGAAACTATCCCTAAAACTAAAATATACAGACTTTTTAACAGGTTAAATGTGTAAAATATACCCGTATTAAATCCATCCATCCATCCATCCATCCATCCATTTTCTACCCTTTAATCCATTTCTGGGTCAGGGGGGGGGGCAGTCAGAGATGCCAGTCTCATAGCACCAGCCCCTCACTGACCCTCTGCAGGTGGTGAGTCCACAGGAGGACGGCTGCTCTCTGAGTGTGAGCATAGCCTTGATCTTTCAGTGGGGGCTTTGGGCAAAGTGGGGTTAAGTGTCTTGCCCAAGGACACAACGACAGCAGTCATCAGTGGGAGTCGGTGGAGAAGGTGCAGAGGTGGGAATTGAACCCGCTTTATATATATTAAGTCTATGCTTCTGCCTAAGCTTTGCCTTGTACAAAAAAATGAATGAATTAATGAATGAATTAAAAATAAAAATAAATTTAAAAATGAATGAATGAAAAATAAAAAATATATAAAAATTAATTTAAAAAAAATAATGAATTAATAAAAAATAAAAATAAATTAAAAAATGAATGAATAAAAAAAAATAAAAAATTAAAAAGAATGAATAAAAAACTAAAAAAATAAACCGTGCACTTGGATATCGGTTTGTTTTGTTGATCATGATGTTTGTGCAGGTTTTGAAATAAATATTATCCATCTATCTGTATAAATAAAATACCTTCTTCTTGTTGTATGTGTAACCGATAATCTCTCTGACAGCTGCATGTATTAAAGTTAATGGTTCTTCCTTGCAATTTAAAAACTCACATCAAAATGCTTTAAAAAGTCAATAAAATTTACAATTATTTCAAGCGGTGGCATAAAAGTAATGGGTTTAAAAAGGCGGTAAAATAAATAAATAGTACAAAATGGAGTCAGTTTTAGCAGAGCGGAAAATATGTGTTTTCAGTCGAGTTTTGAGCATAGTCAGGGTTAGGCCTGTCTCACAACTTCAGGAAGACTGCTCCATATCCACACTGCATAAATCTGAGCCAGTCCCTGTGCTCCTCAGAGTCCAGCAGGAGGCCAGTCCCTGTGCTCCTCAGAGTCCCAGCAGGAAGCCAGTCCCTGTGCTCCTCAGAGTCCCAGCAGGAGGCCAGTCCCTGTGCTCCTCAGAGTCCCAGCAGGAGTCCAGTCCCTGTGCTCCTCAGAGTCCCAGCAGGAGGCCAGTCCCTGTGCTCCTCAGAGTGCAGCAGGAGGAGGCCAGTCCCTGTGCTCCTCAGAGTCCCAGCAGGAGGCCAGTCCCTGTGCTCCTCAGAGTGCAGCATGAGGCCAGTCCCTGTGCTCCTCAGAGTCCAGCAGGAGGCCAGTCCCTGTGCTCCTCAGAGTGCAGCAGGAGGAGGCCAGTCCCTGTGCTCCTCAGAGTCCAGCAGGAGGCCAGTCCCTGTGCTCCTCAGAGTGCAGCAGGAGGAGTCCAGTCCCTGTGCTCCTCAGAGTCCAGCAGGAGGCCAGTCCCTGTGCTCCTCAGAGTGCAGCAGGAGGAGGCCAGTCCCTGTGCTCCTCAGAGTCCAGCAGGAGGCCAGTCCCTGTGCTCCTCAGAGTGCAGCAGGAGGAGTCCAGTCCCTGTGCTCCTCAGAGTGCAGCAGGAGGAGTCCAGTCCCTGTGCTCCTCAGAGTGCAGCAGGAGACCCTATGAGCTGCTAACATCTGGCCCAGATGTGGTAAATGCACAGATTAAAACTTCAGCACCAAAGTTTAGAACAGAACATGTACTGAACACGATCCAGGACCTGACGGTGAAACAGGGCCAGCATCACATGATTATGAGTCACCCCGACTGCTGCTGTCAGACTGTACAATGAGAACGGCTGAGTCTATGTGTCGTTCATCTATAAATAAGTACAGACTGTAATAATGTGTAACTCTATAACTCAAACATCAATCTGAAAGGATGTTGTTACTGTGGCTTTGCACTGCCTCAAACTGAGAAGAGGAAGGAGAGGAAGGAGGAGAGGAAGGAGAGGAAGGAGGAGAGGAAGGAGGAGAGGAAGGAGAGGAAGGAGGAGAGGAAGGAGGAGAGGAAGGAGAGGAAGGAGAGGAAGGAGGAGAGGAAGAAGAGGAAAGAGGAGAGGAAGGAGAGGAAGGAGGAGAGGAAGGAGAGGAAGGAGGAGAGGAAGAAGAGGAAAGAGAGGAATTAAGTGGAGGAGGAAGAAGAAGAGGAAGAAGAGGAAAGAGAGGAGGAAGAAGAGGAAAGAGAGGAAGAAGAGGAGGAAGAAGAGGAGGAAGAAGAGGAAAGAGAGGAAGAAGAAAGAGAGGAAGAAGAAGAAGAAGAGGAAGAAGAAGGGGAAAAAGAAGAAGAAGAAAATAGATGGATGCAGTTTGAGAAGAGTTGACTTTATGGATCACAAATATGAGTTGTAAAGTCAGTGTTGGGGAGTAACTGAATACAGGTAATCCCATGGTCTTCAGAGTATTCCATTACAGTTACTACTTTAAAGTCTAGTATTTAGGATACAGTTACTTTCAGGATAACACGTTTCAAGGTTAAAAAAGAAAAAAAACCATCTCATATTCTTAAAGTGAAGAATCTATTTTTCTGGTTAAATGCAGCTGTTGAAAAACTTTGACTGTTTAAGAAAAATAAACAAAATATTATCGATTAATTCCATGTTTTATTTATTCAAACATTTATTGTGGTTTTGAATATTTTTAAATGTACCGTTTTATGTTTTGTAAATACACATTAATTCACAATAAATATAAATATACCAAAGTAATGATTAAAAATATAAATGAAAGTACGCTAAGTATTTGGAAAACATGTACTGTACTGCTTCTCCCACAGTAACAGAATATTTAACAAAACACATTTTAGTAAATTTTTCCCTGAATTTCTCCATTGCGAGATTTGACTGCCAGCCGTTTTGGAGGATTTCACTGACTTTCAAGACCCACAGAATATTGTGTGCTATGGCGATGTGAAATATAAAACCAGATTCTGAAAGACTGGACGGTCTACTTTCATCTGCAAGAATAAGTTTGTTTCTAGCTAGTTTTGTTTTCCTGTAATCCTCAGTCGAACAGAGGGAAGATTGACAGAAATCTCCAGTCTCAGACAAATACCTCAATGGCCGTTAATAAAGTATATCTCAGGTCATGTAGTCAGGATTCTGGAGCGGAACACATTCACACAACACTCTCCACAACACTGGATTTATGGCAGTAGTAAATGAGAACCAAAACCTCAAGAGCTCATTACACTAGATTATAATGCACTAAACAGACACACAGATTAATACAAATATAAATATGGATCAAAGTCACTCACCACCTCCTGTTTGAGCCTTCTCAGACATGAATCCATGCTCCTGCTCTCTGGCTTGAATCCCTGGTGATCCATGTTGGCTGCTCCCGACTCAGACAAACAGGGACATTCACAGCAATGGCTTTCCCAAACGTGCGACCATGACCGAGAAATCCGCTGCTTTAGGAGAAAAAACAAAATAAACAGCTCCGAGACGTGACGTGGAGAGCAGAGAGACGTTAAATGTGTCGGAATGCGCTCTTCAGGGGTAAAAAAAGGTGTTTAGAGGTGCTGTGTTGTTGCAGCTCTGTGCCGGGCTGCCTGCTCCTGCTGTCTGCGCTCCTCTCTCTGTGCGTGTCTCATTCAAGAGCGCCGCTTACGTCGCTTCTCCGGTTTCCGCCAATGAGCGCGCGTGCCCAGGCGAGACTCACGCGCACGGAACCGATTCAGAACGAAGCGTCGAGTTATCAGATTACTTCACAGCTTGTAGTCATTACGATGTCAGCGGAGTCTGCATGGGAATAATTAAGTAAGAGGCGAAAGATAAGAACTTAGGAGCGCGTGTGTGTGTGTCGCTCCCTCTCCATGTGTGTGTGTGTGTGTGTGTGTGTGTCTCTGTGTGCATTTATGTGTGTGTGTGTGTGTGTGTGTGTGTGTGTGTGTAAAGATTGTTCAGTGCGTGTGCTGTGAGCAAAGCAAAGTTTATGGAGGTGTAGAAAAGGAAACATGTGTGCAGCTGTATTTGGGCTTTGAGAGAGAGGAAAGAGCACAGAGGGAGGAAAAGGCTATAACCAAAATAACCAAAACTAATGTGGACTCTTAGTGTAACATAGTTATTAGAGTACAATTAAATCCACGTAAATTGTGGACACAGCGCCATCTTCTGGCGTTCGCCATACCTGCACCCTTAGTTCGCGCGGAAAGTCCAGAGTTCTTTCACTGTCTGGAGAACTCGAGACGAGGTAACATGTCCGTGAATTTGTGTGGACAGAATTATTAGTTTACTCATGTGTAGCCATTGAAATGCTAAGCTAGTGATTAATTGTTGTGTAGTATTTAGCTGGTGTATATTTCGCCATGTTTAAGAAAAGTTTTTGTGTAATATCTTTTATTTAACCGTGTTTTTCTACCGGAGAACCTAGCTTAGTGTGCGGCTAACCGATGTCCCTTTGCAGAACGAGACAGCACAGAGCACATGAGAGTCCACTACCAGTTATTCACAGTGTCTAATGTTATCTGTGCAGGTATGTAATGTTTAATATGTTTTTTTTTGTACATTTGTTTGTTTTACTATTGGTTAAATGTGCGTTGCACCATTTCGATAAAGTAGAGTTGTGACACATGCATTTCATACATAATTGGCAGCTAGAAAAAGTATTATTTGGTATAAGATATTTCATGATTGTTTATTAAAAACCACTATACGATCACAAGAACTATTTACAATGCTATATTTGGTAAAAAGGTATTGTATTTTTATTTTGATGTGTATTATTACAATTGTATTTTTTTCATGTGTAATTACAATATTGTAGTTGTTTTAAATATTGTAACTACAAATTAGGTATACAATTGATTCGCACTGTCTGGAGAACTCGAGACGAGAACGAGACAGCACAGAGCACATGAGAGTCCACTACCAGTTATTCACAGTGTCTAATGTTATCTGTGCAGATAATAAAACACGACTTCTACCACAAGCTCTAAAGTCTCCATGGGTCATTAAAGAGAAGGCAGGACACACCGGTCACATTAGGGACCCGGAACCGAGACTAGAAGTGTGTGTGTGGGGGAGGGGGGGGGGGGGGGGGGGGCCGGGGCCCAGACTTCCCTATCCACGTGCACCTCCTCCAGCTCCCAATTGGCGTTCCCAGGCCAGCTGAGAGACATAGTCCCTCCAGCGTGTCCTGGGTCTTCCTCGGGGGCTCCTCCCGGTGGGACGTGCCCGGAACACCTCCCCAGGGAGGCGTCCAGGAGGCATCTGGAACAGATGCCCGAGCCACCTCAACTGGTTCCTCTCAACGTGAAGGAGCAGCGGCTCTACTCCGAGCTCCTCCCGTGTGACCGAGCTCCTCACCCTATCTCTAAGGGAGCAGCCACTCTGCGGAGGAAGCTCATTTCGACCGCTTGTATCCGCGATCTCGTTCTTTCGGTCATTACCCAAAGCTCATGACCATAGGTGAGGGAGGGAACAAAGATTGACCGGTAAATCGAGAGCTTTGTCTTTCGGCTCACCTCCCTCTTTACCACAACGGTCCGATGCAGCTCTGACTGCAGACGCTGCTCCCTCTTCACCACAACGGTCCGATACAGCGACCGCATCACTGCGCACGCTGCACCGATCCGCCTGTCAATCTCACGCTCCATCCTTCCCTCACTCGTGAACAAGACCCCGAGATACTTGAACTCCTCCACTTGAGGAAGGACCTCAAGGTCTTGTTATGATTGTTATGATTCTCAAATCATTTATGACTAAACAAGGAATAAAACCAGGATTTCTATCTTTGTGAAAAAGGTGTTGGTTATAGATTTGTTGTTGACAAAACTCTTGTCTATTCAGCTGTTATGGTCCCAGCTGGATTCGTCTGCATATCTGGCAACCTGAGTCAGGGAGAGTGGGAGAGGCTGCAGTACCACTTTTGGCCACATGTTTATATACTGCTCCTTTAACCCCTTAAGGATCACCTAATTTCGCCTGTTTCTTCTCGAATTATGATACCCAAATAGAAATGCTTACTGTGTGGACATCTTGTGTCTGATCTTGTGTTATGAGACCTCATTTGAAAGGTAACACCTTCTAGTTCCTGGAAATGTATGTTACAGTTTGTTAGGAAGGACACAGTCTGCACTACACCTTCTCAAACATGAGTAAAAGTTAGTTTTTTTTTGTCTCGAAAAAAAAAAGGCAATTTCAAAAGGTTCTCCTGAAGACATACTTTATGATATGTTGTTCAAACTCACCAGAGCAGATGTCTGTGGTGTTGGCAACAACTGTATGAAATTTTAGACCTTTAGGTGAAACCATTTTGATGCTGGGGGCTTTTTTGTGACTAATGGGCACATTCGGCACAAGCGGTCCATTTTTGTGCCAATTGTGCCAAAGTGTTTTACATGCAAATTATCAACATTATTACACCAAAAATCAAATTATATCATTTTTTGGCTATTACTCTTGCTATAAATAGGATTTTTTTCCAGATATTGAAATGTTTACAGAAAAACTATTATTTATATAGTTATAGCGCGTGTTCTCCGTGAAAATGCTCCGCTTTCCTCTCTGAAGGGCTAGACACACGGGAGGCGACAAATGAGAGCGATCAGCGAAACTCAACGCTGTCGCTCAGATAACATGACAGACGGGGCGCGATGCGGCTTGACGACAGCGTAGAAAAGTTGAGCCGATTTCAACTTTCTGGGATCGCGTCGCTGACCTGCGCGTGCACGATACATGCACGAGCGGGAGGATTTCACACGCACGTTTTTCGCCCGTCGCTGAGCAGGAGGCTCGCTAGCGATTGACGCTATGTCGCGCACGTCCCATTGAAATGAATGGAGGCGATGCGATGTCGCCTCCCGTGTGTCTAGCCCATTATGGGCCCGACACACGGGAGGCGACAAATGAGAGCGATCAGCGAAACTCAACGCTGTCGCTCAGATAACATGACAGACGGGGCGCGATGCGGCTTGACGACAGCGTCGAAAAGTTGAGCCGATTTCAACTTTCTGGGATCGCGTCGCTGACCCGCGCGTGCACGATACATGCACGAGCGGGAGGATTTCACACGCACGTTTTTCGCCCGTCGCTGAGCAGGAGGCTCGCTAGCGATTGACGCTATGTCGCGCACGTCCCATTGAAATGAATGGAGGCGATGCGATGTCGCCTCCCGTGTGTCT